GTATATATATATATATATAAACATATATATGCTTACTTGATACTTGAACAGCCCTTAAGCCATTGTGGTTTCTGGAATCCCGAGTATAGCCTGGCCAAGGTCTGCCCCGGTCCTCACCACGACAAGCAGTCGCAGCCCTTGTGGATCAAAGGGAGATTTACCACCATGCAACTTTGATACCAAGACGGTGGTGGATCTTGGTATTGGTTTACTTTTAGCTAGAGTTCCTGATGGAAACGCCGGACTTCTGTGCAGCTTGGAAGACCCTGCCGGGTCGATGAAACTGCCCGCTGTACATCGCAGTGCGACACCCAGGAACACCTCCAAGCCACGATGAGGCGGTAAACCGTTGGGAGGCAAATATATACATATATATATATCACACATATATATATATACATATATATATCACATGTCACCTGCAACAACTGCAGTCCCCTTGATCGTCGAGCGGTTCGAGCGTGCGCCAATAAATCTTCCGTTTTCCCAGTCTCGCGCAAGAGTAGCCCAGTGGGTTCTGCTCGCTCTAGGGACTCGCAGAGCATCATATCTTTCTTTAAGGGTTCTTGTGAAAAACTCTGGCCATCGGGTCGTTGGTCTTCCTGCAGTACGTTTGACATCCTGAGGAATCCAGTCACTAACGGCTCTTCTACATCGGTTGCCATTCATACACATTACGTCTCCACCTCACCTTATCTTCGACTGTTTGGCCTGCAGAACGGCATCTATGATTTTTGATCGTTGACGCAGATCGGTGCTTCGGATCCCATCCCTTACTTGCGTGGAATGGGATACTCCTAGCATCGTCCTTTCGACTGCGCGTTCGATAGCGCTGAGTGACCTTTCATCCTGTTTAACCAGCAACCAGGTTTCTGATGCACACGTTAGGGCAGGAAGTATCGTTGAGTCCAAAAGGTGGGCACGCAATCGGGTGATTTTGTTCTCTTCACTATATCCTCGATGCCCTTGAATACTCTCCAAGCCGCTCGTTACCTTCTGCTCAGTTCTGGAGCTAGGTCGTTCGTCGTATTGATTTTCCGACCAAGATAGATATAACTGGAGCATTCGGTGATATTCGTTCCGTTGAGCGTGAATGGGGCATGCGAAACAAATCCGTTCTTCATGAACATTGTTTTTGTGAGATTTAGTCGAGGACCAATCTTTCCACAGGCTTTATCAAAGTCGTCAAGCATACGTTCCGCCTGTCTAATGTTTAGTGTTATAAGGACGATGTCATCAGCAAAGCGAAGATGGTGTAATTGTTTAGCGTCGATTTCCACTCCTATACTATTCCATTCCAATGTTCGCATGATCTACTTTAGGGTGACGGTAAATAGTTTTGGCGAAATGGTATCGCCTTGCCTAACTCTTCTTTTGACATCAATGTTAATATCGCTGTAGAATGATGCTATCTTGGTTGTGAAATTTTTGTAAAGCTCGCGAAAAATCCTTTTGTACTGAGTAGGGACTCCTCGACTATCAAGGGCTTCCCGTGCAAGTCACCCTTCCTGAACAATAACACGGTCTCGCTGGTCTTCCACCGAGTGAGGACCTTGCATTCAGACAGGTAACGTGTGAAGAGCCGAGCCAGTGCGTTCACGAGGACTGTAGGAAGGTTCTTTAGGTGTTCTGGTCTTATCCAGTCCGGACTTGGTGCTGTTCGATTTTTCACCGACGAAATGGCATGTCGGATTTCGGAAGGGAGAACTGGTGGTACGACATATCCATCCTTATTTATTTCATTTGAACTAAGAAGGGCGCGTGGCTATTGAAGAGATCTGAGCAATATTCTTGAATGATTTTCTCCATTACCTTTCTGGACGCTGGAACTGTTTCGTCTGGGCGCCAGAGTGCAATCATTTTGGTCTTGTAATAGGCGAAGCTTCCGTGTGCTTTGCGAATGCTTTTCCCACCCTCTGCAGCTTCGATCATTACTGCTGCTCGTCTCTCTCTAAGATTTTCTTTTGTCGCCTGCCTGCATTGTTTTGCATGTTCGGACGTTAGTTCGCGGTTGCCTGCAGCTCGTGCGATTCCACGCTAGCGTATCAACTCCAGAGTCTCTGGAGACAGACGTCTCTTGGTGACTTTCGAACTCTCAGCTTTCATAGCGCTAGTATGAAGATGTTGAATGGGCCGATCGTATTCTTCGTCGATGTTTTCGACAACGGCATCATCTCAACTGCCGACTAATGAGTTGAGTAAATCCCAGTTTACGGTGGTTCTGGGACTTCGGTTTTGGAATTTAGGATCTATTTCGTTATGGTACTACCCAATGGGTGACTCCGACGTCCAGCGTTGAGGGTGGGGCTTCTGGAACTGCGAGTTATCATGGATTGTCTTGGTCGCCATGATAAACTCAAATAGCCGCTCACCTTATTCGTTCCATTCTAATCCGTGGGTCTCAATGTGACGTTCTTCAAACGTCCTTCTTGGTCCAATCTTGGCGTTGAAATTTTCAGTGATGACCTTAAAGAATGTGTGTCTTCTCTGTAGAGCTTCTCTAAGTCCATATAGAACGCTTTGACTTCTTCTTCGTCATAGTTTGATGTCGGCGCATAAACGTCGGAGATTGTCAAAGCCGGAATTGATTCACGTCTTTTTAGTCGTAAGCGACCGATTAGGGTTGTAGGCCGTTCGAATGAATCGGTGTTGATGGGCAAACTCGTTTTGACGAGAACGTCGACGCCGCCAACTCCTCTACTGTCGCATGTTCCGAGGAACAGTTCTTCTCCGGTGTCATAGACGGCGTTGAAGGGCCGGCGTCTTCTCGTCTCGGCCAGGCTGATGACGTCGTACTTTATCCTTCTTGCTTGCATGAGCAAGTCTTCTATCGAAGACTCGGATGCAAGTGTGCGTGCGCTGTAGGTACAAATCGTCGCCATAGTTCTTCGAAATCCAGGTAGCTTCCATTGGCCCTGAGATTTTAGCAGCCTCTCCGTGCTCGTCCTGCCCAACGCTGCGAAATTGGGGACTCTTTCGGGGTCAGGGGAATGAGGCCCGTTTTTTTTTTACTGTGTTTAGCATTTTTGATACTCGTGTATAGCTTGCTAGGCTGTGAACGTGGGGGCTGGGTATACTCACGGGTAACTTGCCACGCTCTCCCAGAGTGGACGTGAAGCTTATTTATTGGTGGCGATTCCTAGCCCCTCACATATACTTCTCAGTCACTTGATTGTAGGCTTTTGGCCGAATTGACTCGTGGAATACATTCCGCATAAACCAGAGCGCACCCACCCACACGTGCCTGAACACGCCACGCAAATACAGAAAGTATATTCTAAATCGGTGCAGCGAAAACAGGGAGTCCATCCTCTGGATCCACCAGCGCCTCAGGGAAGCAAAAGCGGCTTTTGGTCTGCGATTAACCCCCTATGGGCCACCTGGGGACGCGCCACGCAGCCTCGCGGCTTACCGGCTCAAGATTCCTCATATGAGGGAGATCCGTTGATTTATGTGTATAGACATATATATATATATATATATATTTATGTATATATACGTAAAACCAAGATGATGCTGAGATACACAGTGTTCACTTTTTATTTACTACCTTTTGCAAGTTTTCACAGCGGGGTATTATTTATGGAACAACCACAATGATGCTGAGATATTTGCAAAACTCCGGACCGGAAAAGGAAATTAAAGAAATAGCGATTATTTCCAACATTTTATCATTATTATCTCATTGAACAATGAAACGACAAGGCGAGTGAAATTAACCCAAACTAAAAGAAAATCGTGAACGAGTAAATATAATTTCAAAAAAAATTGTTATATTAGACATGCGGGCAGTCGAGTAAAAATTTAGGCACAATTGCTTTTACAGTTAGCTACCGGAGGTTGCTGTTGAATATTGATTTGACTAGTTCCCAGGATCGACTTTCTATTAACCTCGGCATTGGAATATGAATGTGTCGTTTTCTTTTTCAGCAATCACGAGGTTTTTAAACAGCATACATTTACTTCCATAGAGAAACAATACAGTACAGCACTGGCTGACGTTTCGGCAGTATCGCCTTCTTCAGAGCCTGGAAGGGTAGACTGATATACAATCTACTAGGCCAAACGCTTCAATAAGGCTTACAAAAAGACGGAGTAGATGGAATCGCAGTGTGTGTAAGGAGACGTTATAAGTATTCGCACAGAGGTGAGCGCACTGAAGTGTTGTCACGATTATTTGCGTTACAAGAGCAGATATCATGCTTGGAAGCAGTGGGCCGACATTGAGCAGTGGCCAGATTTTGTGCTCGACACTTCATCCATATAGCTGTTTTTGGTGTAACAAAGGATTTGTACTATTGTATTGATCTCTTTTTGATTTACTTACGTCCCGCAAGTAACATCACGGCTCTGAGGAAGGCCAAGTCGCCGAAACGTCAGCCATCGGTCAATAACATCAAGAACAACGACAATGACAACGAAGACTTGTACCAGCCTCGCGTCAGCTTAAGAAGATCAGTTTATAAGATCACATAAATAAATGTAAATAAAATTATTTCTAAGCCGTGGGATGATCTACCCAACAATTTTCTTTCATTAAGAAAATCCAGATACTGAAATACTACCTTTCCGGATATTCCATCAGGAAGCCCAGCTGAGAGTAAACCAATGCCAGGATCCACCACCGACCTGGTATGAAACTAGTCACATGGTGGCAAATCTCCCTCTGATCCACGAGCGCTGCGGCTGCCTGCGGTGTTGAAGACCTGAGGCGGACTTTGGCCAGGTTGATCTCGGGACTCCAGGCCAACGTGATAGCTAAAGCAGCAAAACTCCGGAAAATGGGATTATAGTGGTGCCTACACAAACTGTAAGGGCAGGCGGCCATCCAAGTATCCAATTAAGAAATACTACATTTACTCGTAATTAGGCTTAATGGTCACTGATGAAGAAAATTCTTTTGGTTTTGATGTGATCAAAATATTGACACCTGTTTACTGACAGCACCGTTAGAGTGAAAAAAATGACTGGCTAAGAGAAAGCCGAAGCAAAGGCCTCGGTTGGCGTAGTGGATAACACGTGAGTCCCCAGAAGTGGTAACTGCGGGTTCAAAGCGCACCTACGGATTCGGCATTTGCTCAGATCTCATCATCGTTATTGTTCTATTTTACATAATACCCTGCTATTAAAAAAAATAAGCAGTCAATGAAAATTAAAGCATTAGGAGTCGCTTTCTTCTGTAATTTTCAAATTGCAGGTGATCTTTTGATGGATTTCATCTGCTCTGACGTCTTAATCACTTATAAGAAAGCGAATAATTTCGAATAATATTTGTCAGCGTAAAATTAAGCTGGGTTATCATAATAGATATCTTATCCATACACTACTCCCAACGGTTTACCGCCTCATAGTGGCTGGGAGGTGTTCCTGAGTGTCGGACTGCGATGTATAGCGGGGGGTTCATCCCCTTGCAGGGTTTCCCATACTGAGAAGGACTCCAGCTTTTCCATTAGGAAGCCTAGCTAGGAGTAAACCAATACCAGGATCCACCACCGACCTGGTATGAAACTGGTCACACGGTGGCAAATCACCCTCTGATCCACAAGGGCTGCGACTGCCAATGGTGGTGAAGGCCTGGGGCAGACTTTGGCCGGGCTGACCTCAGGATTCCAGGGAACCACAATGGCTTAACCAGCAAATCTCCGAAAAATGGTGATTGTGCTGGGGTCTGCACAGCCAGTGAGAATAGGGCGTTCAAGTATCAAGTGTCCGTATACTAAACGCTGTTTGCGAAAACATGGGCACTGCAGAGACGATTGTTTACCTAAGATAGAATACTCTGCATTTCTTCATACTCTCAGAATTTACAACGTCAAATACACTACGAAATCGTCTTAATCGCGTCACATCAATCTGCGTAGGACAACGGTTGTTATCTATTGATTTCTGGAACTCTGCGTGGCTGGCAATCGATATCCACCATTGACAGTTCGCGATCTTTTGCATCGATCGATCTCGTAACCTTCTAGAATTTATCAATCCTGGAACTCCACAACTCAAGTGGACACTGTCACTCCATTCAGTCATAAACCCGTTCCTTCTCATTTTATTCCCTATTTAGTCTTAACTATCTTTTGCTGTGACGTAGCAAATACTGCTTTTCTCACTACTTTATTACTGTTGTTATTATTGTTATTAATGAACCATAGCTGAGCCACCACAAAAGACCTACTCGACGTCGTTTGTAGGACTGGAAAGTGCCCCTTTCGCAGCCGCTTGTTCTTTGCAAGAAGGGCGTTTTCTCCCCTCGGAATCTTGAAAGTGTTGTGTTACGGCTTTCCCACATCGTCAATACGTGCAGTCTGGAGCTTTTGTAAGAGATTTGCAGCCTTACAAGCAAAAGCCGCACTTCTTTGTTCAGGTTGCGACTTACAACAAAATCTTCAACGTCTGTTTCGCAGCATTTACGCCATTGCGCCATCACATTTTCAGATGTTCCTCATCGCAGCTGTATTACCTAGCGGCTCGCATAGGCATCTTGGCCGGTCAACTTGAAATATGTAGGGCTTAGAACGAACCTATGGAACCTCAAATTGTTGTAGTCAAGACTTTGCATGAATAAGAAAAAATTGTTATTATGAAGAGATTAACACCAGCTGTATGAAAAAGTATCTATAATATATCAAATCGATCCCGCTGACTATCGTTTGCTGAGAGCACCTATAGAATAAAACACAGCTGATAAAAAAATGTCAACCGGTTCTACTATAAAAATCGAAGAATTAAGAAGGATAGGACGAGAAACTGTAGTCGCATGAGATTTTCCAAAAAGAAAAAATAGCGATCTTGATACATAGTCTGGGATGTGAAGGTGTTACAAAGTTTCGTCATTGATAGTAATTTCTGCAGTGTTCATGGTGAATAAAATGCAGCCGGCACCAGTAACTTTCCTTTCCCGATGGTTCATATAGCACATAGTTCTTTTATTTTGACATGTTTTTAAACGAGCACAAAATAGGCGGTACAGTAGATGAAAGAGCGCTTTACCCGTGTCCGTGACTCCCGGAAACGGTACATAAGTGCTTTCTGCATGAAATTGTGTAAAAAAAGCTCTAAAGCATTTTTTCAAAAGCTAAAGCTCTCTGCGCTGACCAATCTCTGAGGGATGCGCCATGCATTCGATTTCGTTAAGTATCGTTGGAGGTGGTTGGATTCATATCTGGCTTTTATAATGACTCACGGTGGCCTACCGATGTATCGGGCTAGTGCTGCTATCCATCTAGACATGTTTTGTACTAATTTGCACACTCCGGAAAGATGAAAGGGTTGGTGAGTCATGGACGCGGGATCGATTCCACGTGTGCGCCGCAGTGGTTCCTCTGCGCCACACGCCCCCTTTTTGTGAAATTGTGTGTTTTTTGTAATCAAGGCAGTAATTGCGTTTCCCTCTCTGGAAATCGTCAACGCATTTCTTCAAAAATGTTGCGAAAAAGGTTATTTGACTTTATTGCTTTTGCAGAGTAGAGGAGTACTTGAGGCAATCTTGGGCAACTAGCACGACTCTTATCGATAGTGAACAACACTTCTGGATCAAATCGTTAAATCCTACGTATAAAGTGTAATAGATATAGTTCTTAGAAACTTACTCCGTTCTAAGAAATTAATTATGTCGTAGCAAATTGATGGTTTTGCTTAGCCGATATCGCGCTTATCTCAAAGTTTTGCACCTGATCGGCTCCTTATTTTATTAACGTCAACATCTCTTTCCACTAGAGGAAAGAAAGTACCAACGTTGTTGAAGAGCAGAAACCTCCAAAGTTATCATAAATTATGATTTATTCAGATCATTCGTTCGCTATCGGAGTTGTGCATTTATCGACAGAGTCATCAACGAATTGGAGCTTCTTGCCAAGTAATTTCGATAGTGCTGAGGAAGCCATATTTCAAAATCACTAATAGACCTCTGTCACAAAAACTACTCGAGGTATACCAAACGTTGCGTCGTTCAACCATCATGCAACTACTATTTGCTTCCCAGGTTTCAAATATACGTAAAGAAATGGTAAATGAATATCTAAAAGAGAAAATAAGAGCACCAAAACTACCTGATGCCGCAGAAGTTGGAGATACCCATCGAAATTTTGCGAAGTACACTGCTGTGATGATCGTTCTTCGTTGCGCGATGAAAACTCAGTGTTTTTGGTGTGGCAATGGAGGAAATCATCCACTAATTGCACTTTGATCTCTTTTCAATTAGGATATGTTGCCAGTTGTTTCTCCCTTCAGAAGCCCAACATGCGGTTTCGTTGGTGAAGAACCGCAGAACGGTGGAACATAATAAAATTCGTTTTGAACACTAGCACATCAGCTTGGCCTTTAGCACGTATTTATCAAGATGTAAGCGTCGCATTTATTGAAAAGTCAGGACATATTTTGTTTCACAAAAGAGAATCCTTCTCTGGCTTCGTTCAATTTGCCTATTGTCTCCTGCATCAATTTATTCGAGTCACCCTTAAGGATCCAACAAAAAACTGGACTAACGATGGCCATGTGAGCAAATAAAGCTTAAAAAAGAGCCCTGCACAATCGATCGTATCCTTATTATCACAAAACCGACTTTTGCCCCACTTCTACCTAAAAAGACAACTTTCGTCTCGGTGATGCTGAGATATTTGCGAAACTCCAGACCGCAAGGACCGCCGAGTTTTTCAAAAACCAGCAGCATTGAAGTTATATTTCGCAACATGCCCTACGTTTAAAAAAAGAGTAGGCAGTAAATAGTAAGTTAAAATTGTGATTGTAACTATGGCCTCAACTTAGATGGGTTCATTGCCGATTTGAGCTCTCCAGTTCAAACCCGCTGCCGGATAAAGCTGATGGCACTGATTGATAGAAATAGCTGAGAGACAAGCAAAACGAAAGACCCCCATGTTATAGTGGTGAACGCGTTAGCCCCAGAAAAGGATAATTGCACTTTCGACTCAATTACTTCAGAAGCTGTGTCATGTCCTTTCCTGCATTATTGAAAACATTTTTCTATATAATATTTTTCATACGTGATGTCTTATTTTTCTCATGCTAGAGAAAGGCAGGACAAAGGTTTCGATGCAGCAGTGGGAAATACGTAAACTCTCGAAGAGCGCGTTCAAGGTTCGAAGGTCATCTGGTGTTCCAAGTTTTGCAAATATCTTAGTATCTTAACCATTTTATTTACTTCCTATTCTTTTCAATAGCAGGGCATGTTGAAAAATATAGCTTGTGTAATGCTGAGATATTTGCAAAACTCCGGACTTGCATGGTGTGGTGGTGAACGCGTTACTCCCCGGAAAGGACAATGTCGCTTCCTCACCGCAGACACCTGCGGTTCGGAGTTTCGCAAATATCTCAACATTATAGAATTTATATCTCAGCATCATTGGGGTTTTATTCCATGGATGAGTTTTCGTCGCATTACTCGAGACGTTCGCAAACTAGAACACGAAAATACCTATCCTCGCTGTTGTCTACTTTTGTTGAACCTATTATATATGCCACAAGAACGAAGTTTTTGCTTTGTAGTGTCAAGAATTGAGAAGTTTACGAAATCATCTATTCTAGTTTTTGAGTTAACTATTAGATACGGCAAGATCCACGCAGATATCTTAGGTAAGATAAAGAAATGAGATACGGTATCGCAGAGAGATTTATGTCTAAAAACTAGGTGAATAAGGTGGTTGCAAGCTAACAAGATAGCATAGATAGCTGGATCATAATGCAAACAAACAAAATAGCTATGTTAACTGAACCATGGAAATTTAGGTGGTTCATTCAACGTTCATCACACAATCGAGAAGGCAAGTCAAGATGGTGAAGAAGCTATCAGAAGAACAATGGTACCATGGACTGCTCTCACGTGAAGACATTAAGGTACGTATCATATTCTTTCGTGAGCACTAGTTAGAGGCATCGTGCAATACACACTGGAGCAATCGCCCTCTCCATCTCGCGCCTCAGGCCCACCAAGGCTTTCATCTCTACGGGTTCGTTGAATAGCTGCCTAACATCTCTGGTAGGATAGCAGTGCTTAATTGACAAGACATCTCAAGTGGTAGTACAGTCCAGTTATTCATTCGATCGCCGAAAAGAAGGTTGAGTAAGTCCATGGCACATCTACTGAGCATTGAAGAAGACCAAGCGCTCTGTCTTTTGTCGTTTAGAGAAACAGTGAAAGAATCATCCAAAAATGTTCGGTGAATTTTTTAGATGATGCTACGTTCAAACGGGGACTTCCTTGTTCGAACTACAGAACCCATGGAAGGAAAACCACGTGTTCTTGTTTTGTCTGTCATGGTGAGAGAAGAGCGTGAAGATGAAGGAGTATGTAACTTTTCAATCCCAGCAAAAATTATGTCGCACCTTTGTGTGGAAGTTACCAGTGTAAATGGAAAACCTAAAAGTCTTTCATAGTTCTTTTCCTATGAACCACACTTGCAAAGAGTATAACAGAGGATGTTGACGTTTGGAAAGTAGTGAAGACTAGGTGATCTTATTCTTCTTATAGAGGATCTAGAAAAATTCTTCCTGAATGATGTGTCACTGTGACATTTCCAGCGACTCAGGCTCTATATTACTCTTTCGAGCAAACTAATGCCATAGAACCCAGTATATATAAGACCTTCTTAAATTGCTAAGCTAACACGAGGTTGATAAAGGTGCTTATTCGGCTAGCGTTTTGGCATTTTCGCCTTCCTTAGACCCGACAATCCGAGTCCATGGTCCACAGTCGTTCGTTTTCTCGATATATTATCTTCGTCGTCGTTCGAAGTTGTATTTTCTTCAGTGGAGAACCGTTCGAATAAGGCATCCTCACCCTGCAAAGCTGTTTGATATGAAGTTGTTGATATGAATATCTGTTGATAGCAGCTTGTTCTTCAATCCATCCTGCGGCAGTCGGCCTTATGTTACTAGCACATACACTTGACACTTGACACTTGAACGGTCCGCCCTCACTGGTTGTGCGGGCTTCAGCATAATCACCATTTATGGGAGGCTTTCTGGTTAAACCATTGTGGTTTTCTGGAATCCCAAGGTCAGCCTGGCCAAAGTATGTCCCAAGTCTTCACCACCACGGGCAGTCGCAGCCCTTGTGGATCTGAGGGAGATTTGCCACCATGCGACTTTGATACCAGAATGGTGATGGATCCTGGAATTGGTTTACTCTTAGCCAGGCTTCCTGATGGACACGCCGGGCTACTTGTTAGCTTGGGAGACCCTGCCGAGGAGATGAATCGCCCGTTGTACATCGCTGTCCGACAGCCAGGAACACCTCCCAGCTAAGATGAAGCAATAAATCGTTGGGAGGTTACTAGCACATAGTGACTAGCAAAACAATATCTGTCAAACCTCTCGTCATTTAACCTCGGTAGGAAATTCAATTTATTTAGTTACATAAACAGTAAAGTTTGACGATTTTCGCATGAGATGTGCTGACGCTGAAAGTGCTTAATCTATCGGAAGTATATTTCCGAAGCACCGGAAAAGTTGCACCAAAACGAAAGCAAAGAACGCCAACCAGTTTTTCAAAAATCTGTTTTTGATGTAGTGAATGTGAACCACAGGCAGTTTGTGCATTTGAATAAAATGGTTAACTTATGATTTGTCAGTCTTTCAATTCAAAATGGAAGAAACTGGCATTGACACTATCGGTAAGTTCGTAAAAAAACACAAACTTGTCAGCGAAAGAGAAACTTGAGCTAAAGGGTGGCAAAGGAAGTACAAAGAAGTGTTTAAAGAAGCACTAAAATTTAATGAATGCATTAGCTTCTTCTTCACTTGTTAGTTTCGCATATCTTTGTTAGCTGTAGGAACTGTGACGTGATCGCTATAGCTGTAAAAAGGTGTAATTTTGAACATCTCAGCAGTGAATTCAATAGTAATTTCAGCTTGTTAGTAACTTTTAAGTCCTAAAATGGTACGGTTTCTATGTGATTCGCTTATTTTGACCACTTGCCTTGCGCCGAAAACCCATGATTTTATTAAGCGTATTATTTTGAAAGGGCGCGTGTGGTGCAGTGGTCGAACGAGCTCAGCAACACACATATGGAATCAATCCCCACTCGCACGACCCACCAAGCCTTCCATCTTTCCGGGGTGGGCAAACTGGTACCAGACTTGTCTGGGAGGATAACAGCACTGGCTCGATACATCGGTAGGCCATCACGAGTCATTGTAAAGGCTAGATATGCATTCAATCACCTTCAAACGGTGCTTAATAAAGTCGAATGCATGGCGCATCGCTCAGGGATTGATCAACGCTGAGAGTTTTATCCTTTATCCTTTATTTTGAAAACGGTGTTTCAGTCTAGAACAACACTGGAACCTTCAATATTTACAGATTAAGCACCTCGTTATCACATTTCTTCCATGTGGTAAAGTTGCTATTGAGAGGCGCGCATTCGAGTCGGTTAGTTCCATGATTGAATACCATCTTAGTACAAGCGAGTCCTTACTGAAGGTGAGTTCTTGCTAGACATAAGATCCATGTTGTTTTTTTCTTTTGTTTTTATCCATATGGTTAAATTTTCATAAAGTCTTTTAACAAAACAAACTAGCTCCCATCACTGAGACTAACCTCCTTAGTACGGACTAATGCGGTCCATCGACTCCACAATGATTCTCCTTCGTATAGAAATATGGAAATTCAATTTGGTTAACTGGATGAATGTGTCTTGCTACTCTGTCCAAAAGGATGTTACAATTATTTGAGCAGATTTTATTTTGGAGAAGGACAGTTTTCGACGTTGAGCCGGCCCGAACCACCTAGTCAAGCACATTCTTCCTAGTGAGCATTTCGCATGAGTGGATGGATATTGTGCTCAGTGCACTATACTTTTAATAATAAAGCGAAAAAAAAATTGAACCCATCATATCATGTGCTGTGCATATCAATGGGTTGTTTCGACGCATTGCTCTTCAAAATCTTTACGGCTAGCACGCCTCCAAATTTCATCTTTTGCTTCACCAGATCGTGTTTTCATAGTAGTTCAAGAAAACAAAAAATTATGAACTTTTCGAAATTTTCTAAGGAAAGTTTTGTTACGACCGTAAATTTATATAATTCTACGTAAACAGGGTCAAACTGTATGTGTTGCAGTCCCAAGAAGTGTTCCTACTCAACCCGATTGTGCGTCAAAGTTGGGAGCTGTCTTGCAGCAATGTTAAAATATCGAGGAAACTGGGTAAATCTTGTTTTAAATAAGATTCACTGAGAAAAAAATCTTTACTAAGCTGATCATAAAGAGTTGATTTCTCTAATCTGTTGTCGTGGAACAAATGTGCTGTAGTAGTGTCGTTCCACTTTTCCTTGCCAAGATAAAGCAATGAAGGGTCCGTTTTCAATGAGCGATTTGTTGATCCGAATCTGAACATTGAAGGATTTGTGAAATTATACTTGCTTGAATGTACATGAATTTTAGGCCAAGGTTCTTTTGGCGAAGTGCATGCTGGGAAATTGAGATTGAGCAACGGAACTATGATGACAGTTGCTGTGAAAGTTGTGCGTAGCTTGTCATATACGTTCTCGCTCAAAAAAGGCGTTGTGTGGGTGAAATCTTAATGCTGTCATAGGTCACGTTGGAAGTTCTGACGAAAGAACAAGTCAGAAGAGTCCTGAATGAAGCGCGCCTAATGAGGCAGTTTGACCATCCGAACGTGATTAAATTCTATGGTGTCGCTGCAGGACAAGAACCTTTTTTGACGATTATGGAGCTGGTAGGTTAACTAATTCGGTACATAGTAATCAAATCAACTACTGCAGCAAACAATGTTATCTGACCGGTCTGATTCCGACGCTTTTGTAGAAGCCCTAAGATCCCTTACTGTGCTCACGCATTGTTCGTTGGCGAGAGAAAGTCCGCTACCATGCTATAGTAGACATTTTGCGATTTTTTTTCTCACTCGCCTTCATAATTTTTAAGGCGGACTGCGGTGCCTTGGATGTATACCTACGAAAAAATGAGCAACCAATGGATAAAAAGAACGAAATGTGTTTGCAAGTAAGAATTACAGGCCTGAAGACATTAGGCTTGAATTTGTTACAACGATACTTCAGGCAGCTTGGGGATTGGAATACTTGCATGCCAAAAATGTTCTTCACATGGATATGGCTGCAAGGAACTGTTTATACGGAGACAATAAGGTACAGGTCCACATTCTTATACTTTCGAAGCGGATGAACTTACGGGCCGCAGCACAACAAAGGGTGTGAATTAATTTTTTTTACGAAACATCATTATATAGCATTGCAGGTTAAAATCTCAGATTTTGGTCTTGCCCACGAAGGTACTTTCTACCAAATGGATCCCAGTAAAAGAATCCCAATTAGATGGCTTGCTCCAGAGACGCTAATATTGGCTATCTACACACAGAAGAGCGACGTATTCTGCTACGGTAAGCATAACAATATCGCCTTTAGCTTTCATAAGGTTGTTCTGTGATGTTCGTTTTCAGGTATTATGTGCTGGGAGATATACAACAATGGCATGGAACCATACCCGGGAATGTCCGTCACAGAAGTCAATCAGTGTGTAAGAACTCGACCAACTTTCTAATTTAAGGCAATCCATAAATCAATCTTCAATCTTTCTTTCTTTCGTAAATCAATCTATCGTAAATCTCGGCAATCTTTCGTAAAAAATTTTAACGGATTTTTCTATACTTTGTACCACAACTGGCACATAGCAAAAAAGGTGTTTTCGTCCATTCTAGCATGATGAATTGAAATTTGTGCACTCATGAGACTTCAAGTTGAATCTTATAATAGATTTTTAAAATTTGAGTTGTTTTTAGCATTCCATCTCTAGTGAATTCAATATTTTCAAAGCGGAGGTATGGGCGTCTAATCACTGAGTTCACAGGGAATAAAATTCTGACCAAGTTCTGATTTGCTCTTTTTTCTTTAATAACGAAAATCTTAGAAGAAGACATGAAATGTAAGAGGTCACGGACGAAGACTATTGTTGCGAAAGTATGACAGCGTCATAAGGCCCAATAAATCTAAGTGTTCTAATAATGATGAAAATCCAGTGATGAAAAATAGGTACCATAATGAGTTAAGGCAATATACCCTACTGCGTACACACTAGGTTGCTGATTCGACTCCTAATCAGGCCACTGGTGACCATTCATATATTATTGATCAGTGCAAGCAAATGACGCTGCTTCGCTTTGTCTACGTTATGCTTCACTTCACAGGTCCGAAGAGGATATCGCATGGAGCTCCCACGGGATGTTCACCCGGACATTCAGAAATATATCAAGGTTTTATTTCGCCTTCATATGTCTTACCATTATCATTAGTACAAAGTCAATAACTGGGCAGTTAAATTTTGTCATCAAAACAAATAACGGATGAAGTAGAAAAGTCGCGTTGTGATCCTCTCTTTAGCACTTATAACCGTTGTCGAAGAAACGGCAGTACTTAAATATGTAGGTCTGCTAAATACGACGCTGAATTCTAAACTGAGGACACTCGCTTGCTTCCTGTCTTTCCCACATTTTAAAGCTATTACGAAGGTTATATCTTGTTTCTTAACAGATTCGCTGTTGGTCGGAGAATCCAAATAATCGATACCCAATGGCAAAACTGGCAAAACGCCTCGAAAGAACGCTGCGTGTCCCAGGGCCAAAGTCCGTGGAGAGTCCATAAAACTACATGTGATAACGAAATAAAGTCCAAAGCATTGTTGATGTTATCCATTTGGGCTGATACAACACATATCAAAATACCTTGCAAGCCGAACAAAGTGCGAGATCGATGAATTTTTCGACAGCATTCTCAACAGCGGTTTGATATTTCACACTTTCTCAGCAACTCATGGTTCAGTATCTCAAGTGAAGCCGTTTCTTCCACCTTCAACTGAGTAATTTGTGCATATTTGCTTAAAACTTCTTTTCTAAGGAGACTGGGCTTTCTCAAATGAGTTATGTTAGGTTGTAATGCCGTTAATTCACGTATTTCAAGGCTTTCTTAAAAGTAGCGCTTCTGAAGTGGTCGCTCGCTTCTCCGGGATTCCAAAAGTTATTGTGGGTTTGTTCAACTGTAGACGACCGATAACTTACCACAGCTACCTTTAAACGCAAATGAAGCGTTTAAAAATATTTTTTAGCCTTAAAATAAGTTGAATAATGCGCCTGCCTTCGTCAGTTTTCAAAGAGTATCCATTTCTCTGCAGTCGTTTAACTCACGGAGAACTTATTTGCCTTTCCGATAGTTTCTAAATGAAAGAATGGTTTCCGATTTGTCAGTTCCGTGTCTCTTTGTAACCTCCTTGAGTTGTTTGTAGGTAATCATCTTCGATTACCACCTTAACGTGGCTGTCATCAGTTACTGGTTAGCCCTCACGATTGAGTTTGAACTCGTTAAGAAAATGACGTATATAACGTTTTGACAGTGAACGCTACCTAGCTAAGCAAGAAGTAGGCGTAAAACGCTACGCAACAACAATATAGGCAATAATTACCTTGTTATAAAACGTATCTCCAAAATTCGTAGCAAAAAAACTGGCCGTTATTTTTTAGTCGACTCGTCACTAGACTACACTGGTCTTTCTAGGGCTGCTATCTGAAAATTTGAAATTTCTTTTTAACTTCAAGCTTATTGAACTACGCTCAGAGATCTCTTAAGTGCTTAATGAGACATTGCAACTCTCCTCTATTAGCCTGCTGACGGAGCATGATTTCAGGACTCTAAAATCGCTTGTTTACACAAGTCTGTTTCGTTATAGAAATTTGGTTGAATGTTCCATCATAACTGCTTTGTTCACATTCGACATTCGAAATTTGATATTCAACTTATTTATATCCCTCGACTATTTCATGGGAAAAAAGGATTTTAGCAACCTTAGAAGGTTTAGACAATAAAATAAACAAATGCGAACGAACGATAATGAATGCATAAAATACTAAGTAGGAAAGATGATCCATAACTATGTAAAATAATATTTCATGGAGTGGATTACTAATGGATTACCACTATTTGAAGTCTCCCTTGGCATCTTAGGCACATGAAACTGAGTTTAGAGCGTGCGTAGTCCGATTCATTGTTTACAACTTATTGTGTTCTTGATGGGTAAACAAGAATTTATTCATAACAGCATTTATTTATTCACAATAGTTTCGGTTTCGGCGGTTTCGCCTTGGGCAGAGCTCGGAAGTGTCAAACTGCTCAGTCCAGCACTATCGAAAGTTCAGCAATTTAAACTTAATAGATGAGTTTATACTTGCATAGTGAACAAATTCTCTTAAAAACTCAGTGTTTTGTTCTTTATACGTTGTCTAATTATTGTTGGAGACCAGTCGCACAGACACTCACACGCGAGAATGTGTCCGGCCCTGGTCAAAAAATCGTCAAAAGGTGCGGTACGAGGGTGATTACAAAGCACTCCACCCTGTGTTCCATTTTTGGAGTTCCAGAATTTATCAAAGACTCTTCAAGATTTCTGTGTGCTGATATTTTGGTTTCTTGAGCGAGGGTAGCGAAGTTACTTCGAAATCTTCATTTATTCTTGCTTAATTTGCGTGGGTAATGGGATATTTTGTCTGACTAAAGTTTCCCAACTAGGTGCTATTTTATACGGATGCAGATGGTCTACCCCTTTCGCAACGTGTTCGATTCCAAACGATTTACAAGAGACTGGGTAAACCGCACACGAATTCATGCAATCACCGCCCCTACCGTTAGGGCAAATTGTGCAATTGTTCGTTATTGTTGGAGACGATCATGCAAATGGTTACGAACTAGGTAGTGTCTTAGAGTGTTCAGTGATATTTCAGTCACTGCAGTTGCCTTTTCTAAACCGGCGTTCTCGCCTATGTATCACTCTGTGCGGCTACTTTCTACTAACTAATTGAAATAGAACGAATAAACGACTCTGAAGAAGGCGAAACCGCGTCAACGTCAACTATTGTTTCCTAATAAATTCTATAATACCAGCTTTGTGCCTGCTTGTTGAGGGAAAATAGCGAAATATCAATCAATGCCGGGCTCTGAGGAAGACGAAAACGTCGAAACGTTAGTCAAAACTCATTTGTCACTCTTCGTCATAACGGTGGAGGTTCTGTCCTCATTCATTTCAACATAACTATTCCGTTCAATCCTACATTCACGTGTCATCCTTCCTCTCTAATAAAAACGAGAAGAAGAATCCTCGTGGCACAAAAGAAGAGGATATATCCGCTCTTAATAAAGATTCTTGTGCTAAACTAGATGGCACAACTGATGCATTGGACAGAAGAACACCCTTTTTTTCAAACGTAGTTCTTTCGGCATTTACAGCCATGGTTGCGTGATACGTGATTGTGCATTGTCAATCAGCGGACTTTAACTACTTCAAATGATCAATGGCGGTGGGAGACACTGGTCTTCTTGGCATATTTGATCGATTGCTGTAGTGGAATATTTTACAGGGGTTCAAAAAATTACAAGAGATAACCCCTTCTGCTGAATTCCGAAAAATCACTGCAACCTTATGTTCTGAAAATTTCGCATTAGGAAGTGCTTCGTTGGTCAGTGACTGTACAACTGTTTTCATGAGGCTATTGTGTAATTTAGAAAGTCGATTTTAGTCCTGTGTTAAAATGCCCCAACGAAATGGGAAGGAAAGACAATTTTTGTTTGCTCAAAAGAGAGGAACAGTTTTCAGAACAAGATCACCTTGTTGTTTCTTTATTCCACATATTGGTCGGCTCTCCGAAATTCGATTTCGATCGTGTTCTGAAGCTGTTATTTCGATCTTAACCCTTTTATTTAGTGCCTTTTTCTTTTTAATGGCAGGGTATGTTGCGAAATATAACTCGTATATAATGCTGAGATATTTGTAAAACTCCGGACCGCAGGTGTATGCGGTGGGGAACGAACGCCCTATTGTCTTTTCCGGAGGGTAACGCGTTCACCACCACCCCATGCGGGTCTTTCATTTTGCCTGTCTCTCAGCTAGTTCTATCGAGTTTTTGCCATCAGCATTCACCCGTCAACGGAATTGATCTGGGGAGCCCAAATCGGCATTAAACCCAGTTAAACTGAGGCTTAGTTATAAGATTGTGATTAAACTGAGCCTTAGCTTAACTGGGTTCAATGCCGATTTGGGCTCCCCAGATCAATCCCGTTGACGGGTGATTACTGATGGCGCTGATCGATAGAATTAGCTGAGAGACAGGCGAAACGAAGGACCCGCATGGTGTGGTGGAGAACGCGTTACTCTCCGGAAAGGACAATAGCGCGTTCGTTTCCCACCGCAGATACCTGCAGTCCAGAATTTCGCAAATATCCCAGTGTTGTTTCACACGTAATACCATGCTCTAAAAACTTGTAATAGGCAGTAAATAAAAAGTTAACATTATCTCAGCAACATTGTGGTTAAGTGTTATACACTACGACCGTTATCGGTTTTCAATCAAATTCAGCTTTGGCTTCCCTATTCTTTATCGCTGCTCGATCTCCGCTCACCTGAGGCTTTAGCAACTACCAACTTTCTGGTGCGCGCGGTTTGCGTTGAACTCAATCCATGAGGTCCGTTATACCCTCAACGATAACCGCGCTTACTTGTCTGTG